TCAAGGTACTGAGGCGTCATCCTCCTATATCCAAACTAGGGCACCCAAGGGCTTCACGTCGCAATGATTTCTTTTGTGTTTCATCTCATAAAATTCTGCCGATTGCTCTCACTGGCTTCTCTTTGACATCCCTCATACGCAGTAAAAATTCTCCCGCTTCGTGTTTCTCCAGGACAGTCTTTCCAGATCTTCATCCAAAGCACTGATAAAAAAGGTAGGCAGGGGGCCTTCCCTGGCGGCGCAGCGGGTTAGTGCGAGTTCGATCCCTGGCTGCGGAGGTGAACTGGCAGACTTCTCCTGGCCCGCTCGCTGCTCCACTCAGCAGTGAACTTCCTCAGTCAGCTTGTTCTGCTCTGTACTCTGACACTGGTGAATCCTCCCACCCCAGCACCTCTGGCCTGTACCCCATTTCTGTATGCACAAATATATAAATCTTAGAAAAAAAATTGGCAGGGCAGATAAATGAAGATGATTAATGAGTACATAGGGACCCCCTAGGGCCCTGGGGCCCGTTTGAGGACCACTGTTTTGGTTCAACGTTGCTTTGCTGATGACCAGTTCTGGGCAGGAAAGGCAGTTCTCAGCTCTGTTGCGGTGCTGAGGGCCTTTTTTTTTTTTAGATTTATTTATTTGTTCATACAGAACCAGGGTACAGGCCAGAGGCTCAGGGTTGGCAAGAGGCTTCAACAGAGACAGAGTGGGGAGTGGAACAGGAAGATGGACAAAGTACACTGCTGAGGGGAGCAGCGGGCGGGTCAGGAGAGGTCTGCCGCGCCATGTGGGTCAGCTCCCTGCCTGGAATTGAACTCGTGCTGAAGTGACTTTAGCTTAATGCTGTGCTTTAACCTGCTGTGCCATAGGGGAGGGTCCCCTGAGGGCCTTTTTTGAGGCGCTGCTGGACGCAGTCGCATTCACACCCACATTTCTTTCGGCCTTACCCTCTTTTGCTGTCAAAAGCAGCAAAATTCTCAGTGACCCTAAATTGTTTTCACTGGGTCTTCATATAGAAAGATACAGACAATGAGGCCCAAAGAAACTGCATTCAGGCCAGAGATCTCAGTGCGGGGCTGCGGAACAGTTCGGAGTGTGGAAGACAGGGGGTCCAGGGCCCTCCCCTTTCAGGCACAGGGGCTCCCTTGTTCCCCAACAGTAGCAGGGTGCCTATGTCATGTAACTCCACAGCCGCAGGTGGGAGCTGGAGCTGGGAGAAACACCTCAGTGTCCCCAGAGATGACACTTAGGACCCACGGTGACGGGCGGGGAGAACGAGGATCCAAATTGGAACTGGATGGGGGTTGGGACCCGCCTCTCCCGGCCTGCGTGCCTGCGGGGGCCCAGCTCTAAGCCTTTCTCCAGCACAAAAAGATGCCCTTTGTTTTACTCTATTGCGCAGGGGGGCTGGGCCGCGGTGAGCACACGCCCTGGCTCGTCCCACACAGTCTTCCTGGAGAGGCTGCTCTGCCGAAGGCCAGGAGGCCTGTGGGACTGGGCCAAGGCCACGGGGCCAGTGAATGCCAGCGTGGCAGGAAAGGGTCAGGCTTGGATCCAGGGTTCCCCTCGGTCGCCCTTAGTGGCAGCCGCGAAGGCACCAAGAACCCAGAGGAGGAAGTGAAGGGAAGCAGCGATCTCGGATCTTGTTCTTTAGGGCTGGGTGGTGTTTCACGTCTTTCTGTGGGGAGAAGCTATTTTTGTCATCCCTTGCAAATAACCACCAAAGTAACACTCAGCTACACTGAGTGTTTTTCACATTGAGCTGTGAATACTTAATGTCTCTTAGGCTATTCTAAATGGTACCTACACCTTTAGAGTTTTACTTTCTAATTGTTGCTGGTTGTGTAGAAATACAAGTGATTTTTGTTATATGACATGGCTCTAGAAATCTTGCTGATTCTATTAATTTATCGGTAGGTTCTTTGAGATTATCTATATACTTAATGATATCATCTGCAAATAATAATGACAGTTTATTTTCTTCCCATCCAATCCAATCCTTTTTTGAACAACATGACTGCACTTGGCTAAGACCTCAGCTATTATTTTGCCCTGTGCTACAATGAAGTGGAAAAAATTTTAGAGGACAGCGGTGTATCCACCATCTAGATTTTACTAAGATTACCATGCTCCTTCCTACCTGTCTTTTTGGCCTTCCAGCAGTCTGTCCTATTTTTCCCAAACTACTATCCCCCACCCCAAGTCTTTTTAAAGTAATTCCAGACTCCAAGACAAGTCTCCCTGAATACTTTGGCATATACACTGTTATCTAGTACCATTTTGAATAGAAGTCAAATGGACATCATTTCTTAATCTTAGGAGGAAAAGGATAATTTAAAAGTGTTGCATTTGCTGTAAGATTTTTTTTTTGTAGATAATCTTTATCAGGTTAAAAATTTCCCTATGTTTCTATTTTCTAAACATTTATATCACCCAATATTGTTTAGTTCTATAAAAAAAATTTTTCCTGTTTACTCTGAGACCAAATAGTTTCCCCTTGTTATTCACTTTGTGACTTTTTAATAAGTACAATTTAATCAAGACACATTTTTACACATTGCTATTTACATATTGATTTCTATTTGCTAACATTTTAAGGACTTTTGCACTTCTATTGAGATTGGCCTTCAACTTTAATTTCTTACACTGTTCTTGTCAGATTTTTGGTATTTTAAGACAGTGCTAGTCTTATAAAAATGACATTGGATACTTGCTATTCCGCAGAAGAGTATGTGTTAAGAGTAGCATTATTTGTCTGTGAAACGTTTGAATTGTGAAGCCATCTGGGGCTGTAGATTTCCTTGTGAGATTTAAAATTATGGATTAAATTCATGCGACAGATATAGGATGGTCCCAATTTTCAAGATTTTTTTTTTGGTCAATTTTAGAAAGCTGTTTTTTAAAAAAGAAATTTGTTCATTTTACCCAAAATTTAAAAACAGCTTCATTGAGGCATAATCGCCATACAGAAAGTACACATTTGTAAAGTGTATACAATTTGATGGATTTTGACATATATAAACTCAGGAAACCATCATGACACTCAAGATTGTCTCGATTCAAAATATATTCATATTCCTTTAACATCTGTATGATTTGAAGCAATCTATTTTCATTTTTGACACTTCTAATTTTCTTAAGGGTATGTGAACTAATGAAGTCTGCCCGTTGTATGTCTAAACATGCCTTTATTTCTTCCTCATTCTTGCAGGATATTTGTCCCACTTAGAAATTTCTACGCGGTTGGGCTCCCTGGTGTCCTAGGGGGTTGATTCTCAGTGCTACCACCACAAGGCTCACCGCTGTGGCCTGTGGTCGCTCCCCGGGCAAGGAGCTGACCCCCATGGCACGGCAGGCCTCTCCTGACCTGCCCACTGCTCCCGTCAGCAGTGCATTTCCGTCTGTCTGTCTGTTCTGTTGCCTACTCTGTCTCTGGTGAGTCCTCTCATCACCCCCCTACCCCAAGCTCTGGTCAGCGCTCCAGTGCAATGCAAAAATAAATAAAATCTTAAAAAAAAAAATGTCTAGGTGGGCAGTTGTTTTCTTTCACCACCTTAGAGGCCGCGTTTCACTGTCTTCCACTGTTTATGCGGTGAAATTAATGGTCAGTTTAATTGTTGCGCTTTTGGTGGTGACCCCCTGCCCAAACTATTTTAGTTTTTTCCCCTTTGGCTTTCAACGGTTTCACTATGGATCCAAGTGTACGCTATTTATTCAACTTGAGATTTGCTGGGGGTTCTTGAATTTATATGGTTTGATGTCTTTCATGAGTTTTGCAATCGCTCCTAACCAATACGTATTTAATAACTCATCCTTTTACTCTTCTTTTGAGATTAGTTACATTTAGGTCAGACAACCTCATTGCATCTGGTAAATGGTCTACTCTCTGGTTCTCTATCTTTTTGACTTTTTCCCCTGACTTTTCACCAGAGCTGACAGGCCAGTATTATCAGGCTGACCAGTCATAGGGGCCTGCACTTCCTCTGCGGGTTTTTGTAAATTCCAGAGACTAAGTCTGAGCAGTTGGCACTTTTAACCTTGTGTGCTCAGATTAGGGGTTGCCATAAATGACCTGACATGGAGTGGTTACTGCTAAGTCTCCGTTGCTTTGGTTGGGGAGTCCCATAATATATATATATATATATATATATATATATATATATATATATATATACTGTGCTTAAATTTTATGCTTTGACTTAAAAAAATGCCCCATTTGCTGTGGATTATGTGCTATACTTTACTTCTCAGTGTTTCGTACTCTTAGGAAGCTTGGTGCTTCATCAGAGAACAGAAATCAAAGACAACGTGGGGCAATACGGACACCCTGAATTTGGCGTCAGAAGACCCAGAGGCTCAGTCCCTAATATCAAGTGGCAAATACTGCAACTGCAGGCATAGTGCCTAGGAGGGAATTAAGAGACCCAAAGGGCTGACCTTGTAGACTCAAGCTTCTAAAGTATCAGCTGGAACTACAAGTCTAACTTATGACTGACAAGCAGCACAGAGCGACTCAGTTATACAGCGCTCAAATGCCTGACACAGAATTCTGCTCTCCCCCAATACAGTATGTTGCCAAAGTATGATCTATCACAAAATTTCGGGCCCTGAAGTATCCTCCAGTCAATGTTTCTCTTAGGTGTATTTTACAAGCTTGGAGAAGTTGCTGGTCTTTCTCTATCTCCCACTCCCTCAGCGCCTGCGATATCCTCCCGAAGCAAAGGTGGGTCTGGCCTCTCTGTCAGGGGCCATCCTTTTTCTCTGGTCCGCCCTCGAGCCGCTCTACATCCAAGTCCCTCCGCACTGTTGAACTACGAAATGCCAAGGTCACAGGCTTGTGTTCACAGGTCCTGGACAACAGCTTCGAGGGATGACTGTGGGGCCTAGTTGTAGTGTTGGGCTTCTCTGGCAGTGCCCTGCCCTCGTAGTGGGGAAGGTACAAACGAAAGGGGTGATTTCTTGATATAAATCTTTTTATTTGAATTAAAAAAAAAATAGCATACGGTCAGAACCATCTGTTGATGCCATCCTACGATGACACCTTCATACCAGGATAAAGTCAGATGTTAATTCCACCCTGACACGTGAGGGCCCTGACAGTGTCTCCTCACACACATTTTTACTTTGTGGAAAACAAGAAAATTTCCAAGCAAATTAACACTCGACTGTATTAAAGTTTATCATTAATTTCTTTATTGCCAAGTAATAAATCTTTCACAAAAATAGGCGCCTGGCAGCCTCGAAAGACCAGGCAGCACTGCGTGTCTGCGGTCGTTTCAGGCCAGTGAGCACTTCTGCTGTGTGGCTGACGGGGTGAGGGGGCGAGCAGGGGGAGGCTCTGGTGAGTCGGGGATGCTGGGCAGCTGGGAGACTCAGCCCCGGGGAGAGGCTGAGCCTCTCTGAGTCACCTTTGGGGGGCTGCTTGTCTCTCGCCAGAAGTGACAGTCCTGTACCCAGTGACTGTCCCCTGGCACTTGGGGGATGGTCCTGGGGTCCTACCAGAGACTCCATTAAACACTTTGAGTTTTGATTTAAAAAATGGAAGTGAATCAAAATGCTTCGGAAACAAATTAAAGCTGTAAATCATTTCCCCACGTAGGAAATAAAAATAATTGCTACCTGAAATGATAATCAAATCAGTTCCCCCTCCTGAAAGGGCTGCTCCTTCCACCTTCAAACTGCCTGCCCCCCCCGCCCCATGACTAAGTGAGCTGTTATAGTGCTTCTGCTGCTGGGCTGGGCAGGCTGTGTGGCCTTCAGTGAAGGGAGGCCCGAGGCCAGACAGCTAAGAGGCTGTGGCCCAGGAGGAGGCAGGCGATCTGCATCTGTCTCATGGCCTACCCGGTGGCGACAGCCCTTCCTCTGCTGGCCTTGGAGGCCTCAGTCTCGGCAGCTGTCCCCACCAGGGAGACGAAGCCACCCAGCCAACCTCGAAGCCTGCCGGGAGGATGGAGTGGCCAGGCTTTTCGTGGTGGACGGCACACAGATGTGCACTGACCTGGCAGAAGGGCGCCCCACCTTTTACGGGGCCCGATGTGAGCCCAGATGGCTCCTCCCTGGCCTCAGAAGGCAGGGACGGAACAAAAAGTCAGGGCCAGCCCAGGGCATGTGGGCAGGAGGCGCTGGTCCCCGATACACAGCAGTGTCTCGTCCAGGCAGGTCTCCACTGGGAGGGGCCAGTCAGGGGCGCAGGGCGACTAGGCAGGGCCGAGCACTGGCCCTCACTGACCAGCTCCCTGCGCTCTGCCCTCAGGGGAGCTCCCCTCCAGCTCAGGCGCCAAACACTCGCATTGCAGAATTTAAATCCAAAGGGCTTAAAAAGAAAAGAAAAACATGCTTTCCACCTCACGGGGAACACTTACTAATCGGATCGGTCTCCCTTCTGTCCTACTAGTCTGGTTGAAGGAAAAAGACTGCTTTCCAAACGAAGCTTTTCTTTTTCCAATGATTAATACAAAGTAGATTAACTTAATTTGTGCTAGACTCCAATTTAATTCTGGCTACAGCTCAGAGGCCAAAACCACTGAAAAGCTGATCTGGGCTTCACCCGAGGAGCCATTTCTCTCTCTGAGGGAACGACACAGAGGGTCCAAAAGGCTGCGAGCCCGTTGCCTGGGCAGAGTTTCTTAGTTTGTGGTCCTCTGGGAGGCAGCCACATACGGGACTTCACCACCTTAATTCCCTTCCTGTCATCTTCTCAGATTGATTATTTCTTAATATTGAAAGAAACACATACCCCCAAGACCAAAATACAAATCTTGAACATGCAAAAAAAAAAGTATGTCCTGGTGAAGTGTTATATGCCGGAGGCACCCTGGAAAAGCTCTAGATTTTTGGTTTAGAAATAAAATTGCATGTGGAATAGCAGGTTTTTACATTTATTATGGTTATGTATCCCCCGACCACCCACCCCCTCTTTTTGCACTACAATCTAAGCTGAGTGATCTACTGCCAACTGGCACCAACTCTTCAAATCCAAGTGTGCAAGGGAAACACGCCTGTGTGATTCTCTTTACCGAAGATACACTGGCAATCTGTCTACTTCTGTTCCCCAGAGAGAAACGACTAGAAGGGCTGCTTGGCCAGAGGGGCAGGGCGTGAGGCGCGACCTGCCCTCAGTCGGAATCCATTGCGAACAGCTGGATGTCCTGTGGGCTCCAGTACAGCCCCACTGCCGAGTTGTAGACCAGAGACCAGACGTAGGGGATAAAAAACTCCTCAGGCTGCTCCTCTTCCACATATTTGAATTTCAATTCTGGAAATTTCTGCAATGAAAACAAGATGATTTTATAATCTCACAGTTCTACACACAAGCAAAAGCAGCAGAAATGTTAAGTGGTGTGAGCAGGGCGCCCAGCTCCCTCCGTTGACACAGGGCCTGGGAACTCCGGGGCTGTAGGGAATGCTTGCTTCCTGATGACTCCCCAGAAGGAGTAACTACCTGGAGGGAAGACAAATAGCCCCAAAGGCCATGAGGAGGGTAGGGACAGAGGCAGCAGCGAGGTAGAGGAGAGACAGCACAAAATAACACCTCACCCGGGGTGGCAGACGGGTCCAGAAAGATTCTCCACTGCACAATGCTGAGACCTGGGTGTGGTGAGGACTTTCCCTGACACTGCTGCACTGCGACCTCAGAGACAGGCTCCCACCCACAGTGGGACTATGGCCACGGTTCTGGGCGGGGGCTACCTGGGGTGGCTCTGGCACTGAGAGGGGGCTGCTGGGGAGACTCTCCCCAGAGGCTCAGGAGGGCCTGAGCCCCACCTCCATGACCTGGCCATACTCTGCTGTCAGGGCGGTCAGGGCGAACCTCTCAGGCCAGCGTTCCCAGGGTCTAAGCAGCATTTCACTGTAGCTCTGCACCACCATCTGGGCTTTGGATTTTCTAATTTTAACTCCTGACCTATTTATCCAGCCAGGGCAGAGGAAACGATTCTCTGTGCAGCAGCCCAAGGAGCCCGCTGACGGTACACAAACCCCCGGGGCCTCTTGCTGACCACGCCACTCCAGGCAGGAGTGGCTGTGGTTTGGTGACCGTGTCCCAGGTGGGGCAGAAGGGGGCAACGGTGTCCTGAGAGGACAGGCAGGGCAGGGGCAGTGGAGAGAGGTCAGAGGAGAGGGGGCGGGAACAGCCTCCAGGCAGGCCCACACGCGCCATATTCTAGCGCAACGCAGACGCCCTGGGCGGCGGCTTATCTGCCTTATTGGCTGTTCGCGCGCCACAGACAGGGGCCAGACCCTTCAGTCTGATAGGTGAAACAGTGAAACCATAAATGAGACACCCACACACGGGGCACCCACGGGGCTGCAGGCCCAACAGCGAATGCATTATGTCTCTCAACCCCACTCCCCCTTTTAAATCCAACGTGTGTTTATCGGGGTGTTTCCCATCATCCACCTTGACCCCCCAGCTCCTCGCCTTCCGTTAGCCTCGCTGTCCCTCCTGAGGGCTGGCAGAGGAGCGCGGAACAGCCAACCCACAAGAGCACCGTGGGGCGCAGCGTCTGGGGTGGTGTCCGCACGCCACTGGGTGTTTCACATCGCCAAGTGGGAGTGGGGTGGGGGTGCGGCGCTCAGGGGGGCTCTCTCTCCTGTTTCTTTCGTGCCCCTTCTGGAGAGTATAGGGGAGGCACACCGTGCGTGGCACACGCTGGGGCTGCCGTCACCCCCGGAAGCCCGCAGCCCTCCCTCATTCCACTGGCGGGCGCCTGCTGCTCTGTTCTGTGCGCACCAGGGACCGAGGGGACTGCAGCCACCAGGCCCTGCCCTTGCTGAAGTGCGGTCTTGGGGAGGAAGAAGTCACAAGGCGGCAGTGGCCACAAAGGCCAACCTGCTCCAGAGGCTTGCGGGGGCGGGAAGAGGCAGGGAGCAGGAGCAGGGGAAGGAGCCAGCCAAGGGGGGGCGGCGAGCCGGGGACTCTGGGCTGTGTGCTGAGGCTCCCAGAGGGCTTAGAGCCTGGGGGTAACCTGGTGAGAGAGGCGCTGGGCAGTGTGGAGAAACGGGGCGCATGGGGCAGGCCTGCTCACCAAACCACACGAGATGACTAGCTGGGAGGGTTTAAAAATACTGAAAGTAAAGGGGGCCGGGGAACGACGCACAGGGAGTTACAGTCATTTTTAAGTTTGTAATGACAAGGCTAAGGGCTGGATCCTCAGGGCTCCAGGATGATGACAGAGGGGCAGACTTCTGTGGTACGTTTTGAGTTAAATCTTGAGGAATTCCTGAAGAGGGTACTCTGGTCTTGGATGTCACTTCAGCGTACCAGCCAGTCTCTCCCCATCTGTTCCGGTTTCAGGGAAAACCAGCTCTCTGTCCCATGCTCCCAGGGCACTGTGCAAACACGGGGTTCTATGAGTGGCCCCAGCTCCAGTGTTACCTCCTCCTAGGTCCTCCCCTGCATTCTGCACCCCATACTTGAGTCCCCTTTGCAAAACTGCTCTGGTTGAGTGAAGGCCTGGGCCCCTACAGACGGTCAGAGTTTTGAATCTGTACACGATCATCACAGCAGGAGCCACGGCCTTGGAGGGTGCCGAGGGAATGCCGGTCACGGCGATCTGGAGGACGGCTTCTGCTGGGCTTTTGGGTCAGTCTGGTGGGAAAAGTTCGATCGGCTCAGAGATGTGGCAGTACTTCCGGAACTCACGGGCACGACCGGCGCTCACTGAGGCTCCCAGTTCTCCCTCCTCTTATAACCTCTCAGTGAACGCTGCGAGTCCCTCCTGCCCGGGCCAGTGTTGTCTGTGCATCAGCTGGGTGGCCTCTTGGGGTTGGGGGTGCCTGGCATCCTTGAGGAGCCCTCTCACACACTCTGTGCTACTTCTGGCCTAGCGTGGGTGCCTCACGTTTCTGGAGATGACGACAAGTCTTAGTCATGGAATTAGGTGTCTTACAGGTAGCAACACATCGGCCGCCTTTTCTGTGAAAAATCTGTGTGTATTAATAGGACGCAACTGAACGCTTCCTGTGCACCAAGCCCATGCGGAGGACCTGGCCGCAGCATTGGCATCTGTCACCGCCGTGTCCTACTGAGGCCAACGTGGCCTCCCACACGGACCTTGACAGAGGGAGGAGGCAGAGGTGGAGGTCTGAGAATGTTAGAGCCCACTGCCTCTGCCTCTTTCAGCTGCAAAAACAGCGTCCACATTTCACATGGTAAGGTGGCCAATGAGATGTGCTTCTTGTTAGAAATGACTTAAAGATGTGAAACCTCTTCCCTATTCTGTGAAATATTTGAGGGCTTCCCGATGAAGGCTTTAGGAAAGGCTAGGGCCCTTCCATGAGACAGCTGTCTGCATCTCACAGAAGGGTACAATGGAAATAACATGACACGTTCTTTTGTAAGAAGCCTCTCCAGCGAAATTACAGAAATTCAGGCAAGAGTTGCTTGGTGGGCTGGACCGCCTGGTTTTGGGGAAATTTCATGATTACTCAGAAGGGCCAATGAGTCAAAGATGCACGTGGTCACGTGTAGGCAGGTGCGGACAAGGCCCTGGCACCCAGGCCACTACCCTTTCTGCCTCCAACTCAGATGAAGATGCCTCATTGTCCCATCGGCTCACGTTTATGTCAAAACAGTAACCCACCCTCCACCCCCATCTACAAAGGCCAGGCTATTTCTTCAAGAAGGTTGAGACATTTCTTCCAATCGGAGAAAGTGGAAGAGATATTTAGCCAGAGATAACCACGGCTTTCCAGTGTGGTAAACAAACTCTCAATGTTGGGGACACCAAGCAAGAGTGGTGGGAACATGCAGTCTAGGTAAAGTACAGGACGGAACCCGGAAAACTGAAGAGAACAGTGCGGATTTTATCTGTCAATAGCAAATAGGTAGAGATAATGATGTTTTTCACCACGCTGGTCAATGATTCTTTTTATAGAAGTGCGCCATAAGAACTCTGCAATCAGTGCTGAGATTCCGGCTGGCGGACTGATCACCTATCACCAGCAAACGTGCTCAAGCACTTTCCTACTCGTTTCATCTTTGAAGTAACTAGAAAAAACACTCCAAAGACAGGAAGATAATTTGAGTTTTAACCCCTTCTTTTCTAATTCATTCATCCTTTCACTGGGCAAACATTCACTGAGGCCCTACCTGAACTGTAACTGGGATAGGCCACACCCAACCGCAGCATCTGGGAGTTAAAAGTCAAATCCTTACTGCTGGATAACTCAAGCCAAGTCTCATACCTGCCCCAGACTGGGGCTCTTCAAAGTTAAAAGTTTATTCTGAGGTTTTGAACTGGTCTCTGTCACGGGGTTGTGACAAACATGCCAGATGACTCACGTGAAAGGGTTCGGATGGCGCACTCAAGAAGTGCTGGCTGTGACGGTGACATGCAAGTGTGAGGCATGCTCTCCTTTCACCACTTCCAGTCATCAAGTCTAAGGCAAACAATAGCTGACTGGCCTGTCCTAAGACTGTTTTTCCTATGACACGCAAATGAACACTTCTCACTGGTAACCCTGCTGTTTCTTTGAGGAAAAAAAAAATATATATATATATATATATTTATGCATATAGAACTGGGGTATGGGCCAGAGGTGCAGGCGCGGTGAGAAGACTCACCAGAGACAGAGTGCAGAATAGGCAGATCGATGAAGCACACTGCTGAGGGGAGCAGCAGGCGGGTCAAGAGGTGCCACGTGGGTCACCTACGGGGCTGGGATGGAACTCGCACTGAAGCGGCTGCAGCCAGCTCGCAGTGCTGTGTCCTAGCGTTGCTTGACTTCTAATGTCAGAAGCATAGAGGACCTGAGTGCGCCCTGCAAAATCCCAGGGACAAAAGGGCTTTAAAAAAGTGACAGGCTCATCTCCATGAACATCTATAAAGAGCGGAGAGGTCCTGAGGCACCACTGCCTTCCTTCTCAGTCATTACTCGTGGAATGACGAGCAAAGTAAATGGATACTTGCCTTCAAATCTGCAAAACTGTGTTGTTTTATTAACTCATCTGAAGAGGGGCTAGCCTTAAGGTGGGCTTTATTATCGTAATGAGGGTAGAAGGGACACTTGGACATATCTGTCAGAAGAACATGCCCTGGGAGTTGAGGGCCTTCCTGTATTATTGATTACATGGCGCGTTCAACACCACCCAAGGTGCAGTCAAGGGTGTGGCACCTAATCCCTGAGCTGCCAAGGACTGGAGTGGCCTAGGCTATGCAGAAGCCCAGTGCCTGCCTGGGAAGGGCCCCAGGTATGTTCCACTTTACCCAAGACCACCTGATAAACAATACAAGTGGGCATCTCTTAGCTCGATGGTTTCTTT